TATACTAACTATTACAAAAATAGTGGATATTTTACTGAATCTTTTATATACAAACATTAATATAACATTCGAAAAATTCAATAAAAAAAACTTGTAAACCCTCAATTTCGGCTGGATATCTAAAATAGATCCAAAGAAGAATGCTTGATGCAGAACGATTTACTTACCATTTCTTATCTGAGCAAAGTAATATACCCTCAAGGTTGCTTCATTGCTTCCGAGCGTTACTTCAGAGGTAAAAAAACGCGTCAGTCCTTGAAGAGAACTGGTGCGTTGGCTTTACTCACGCCTAATAGCATTTGTGTATGCATTTCGGTAAAGAAAAACTCCACTTAGTTTTCCACCACACTATTTATGTATCAATGCAGCCTTATCGTAACACCCTTTATATGCTTACTGCAGGCATGTGCAATACAAAATGTTAACATTGTATAGTTACACAACTGTTGCGCATGTAACGGTATGCGTGCGTGCCACAAGTGCACTGGCTGTCGTTTGCTGTGTCAGGTTACGTATACGCCATGACACATGCACAGCAAATATTTAGTATCCGCTATTCTGTGTGCCATTCGTCTTGCTCAGCGCTATTACACGTTTTATGTTCTATTTTTATTTGTCCTTTTTGTTATTGTTGTTGTTGTTGTTGTTGTTGTTGTTTTCATGCTTTTTGCACATTTCATATCATCCTGCAGTTGCTTGTTAAAGGCGCGTAAATAGGAAATGCACTCATGCAAGCAAATTATAAGCCATTGTTATCCTTTCCGCCATCGCCCTTCAACCGACCCTCACCCGCCCTGTCGGCAGGATGCCAGTTCATTTTACATGCGCAATTCATTTATTATTATTCCACTTTTTTCCTTTCTCCTTCCGTGCATTTAATGGCATTTGAATACCTATGAATGTTTTAGCCATCGCCTGTTTTATTCAGTGCTTTGCTCGCACTGATTTATTACCTTCGTATACCGGCAAGAGTGTACTTAAGGGAGTTACGTTTAAAATAAATTATTTGCGAATTAGATATGCAGCGGTGCATAAAAGGTATGTGATGCGAGTTTGGGTTTCTGATTCATATTGGTTGGGAGAGTTAGTTATAGTTAAATTTTAAATATAAAAATAAAAATGAAAATAAAAACTGTGTTTGAGGTTATGTGAACCAGATGTTGACGAAAACGTTGTACATCTTTATCACCTACAATTTTTCAATATAACTTTTATTCCATTGGACCCATAGTTCTGCCCCATCAATCACCTCGGTTCCTCTCAAAATCAGAGATTAGACGGCTCAAAAATTACATTTATACAATTGTAAGTATCACTAGAAACTAGTGGAGTTGTCGATACGTAAGTGAGCAGGGTGGCAAGCGAGTTGAAATCCTATTCGAACGGTTCAATAAATATCGAACAATGAAGAAGCAGTGGTACTCAACGTTGTTAGTTCTTTATTTTCCAAGATAGTCAATAAAATTTGTTCTATGGGCATCCTTAAATACACATGCCTTAATTATGCCAGCCTTTGGAACAGGTTCATCGTATGCAACCCACTCGAATGAATGTCGGGTTTATTACATCTAAAGCACACCTGAGACACTTTTCCAAATCACCAGCTGTCGTTGTGTTCGGTCAAAAGTGAGTTCGTGCACCACCCATTTAGCACAGAGCTTTTTTATACCCAAAATGTTATATGCATGTTTAGTTGATATCTTCAGAGTGTCTACTAACTCGAACAACTTCACTTTACGGTCATCAACTTCACTTACGGTTGTAGACTTGTTTGATATTTTGCTCGGTAACAACTGCTTTTAGGAGTCCACTGCGTCTGCCGTTTTCGCTTCTTATCCAACCACGTCTAAAATTAGCTACCAATCGTTAATGATTGATTTACCTGGGTTATCAAGCCAAGTTTTCGCCTCAACTGTACTTTTTCCTTTCAAAAAGCAATATTCCATCAGCATGCGAAGTTTCCTTTAAATCCATTTTTTACCATAAAAAAAGTTGCTTCAGTCAAAATGATATAATTCATCAACTAATGATTCGACAGCTGTCAAATTTATCAAATTATATAGATTTAATTCCATTAGTGCTATCGGTGTTTCAGGCGGTGGTCTTTCAATTGGCTTTGAATATTTTCCTGTTAATAAAATGTAATCATTCCAAAACTAGACAAAATCAAGTCAATACTGCTACCATTTTCCATATACCTATTAAGAGAATTTAAAATTTCCAGTTGCCCTTATGAAATATGTATCTGTTAATGTGGAAAATATTTTAGCAAAGCTTTCAAACTTATAAGATTGCATGTACTAGAATTAAATGCTGAAAACTGTTAAATTGATCTACCAATGACCAATAATCTTCTCGACGAAAAATATGACAAAAAGCATCAATATTAAATAAGTATTCTTCGGTCGATATTACTGTTGATGTAATATTATTAAGAATTATTTCCAATTTATTAATTTAAGAGTAATTTGAAAAAGAAAATTACGGTGGTAGAAAAAGTGGCCGAGATCTCACCCTCTTATATGTTAAATGTACATATTCCTTAACCACTAAAATTATAATAGCCAGATTATAATCTTCCTCTTTCCCCATATAACGGTTTTTAAAAAAGGCTAAATGTGCGATAAATAAATATCAAAATGCACCAGGGACATTCGATTTGAAATCCATGATGACACAAGAGAACTTTATAACTGACGAGGTCAAAATTGAACGATGGACGTGACTTTCAATCAAATTCGGTATTTATTATTTTAACACATATCACAGTATGAAAATGGACGAAATTGGACTGCAACCACGCCAATTCATTTCCATTTCCATTTCCATTTGATTCTTTCACTTTTTAGTATATTTTTATATATAAAAATCACGTGTCACGTTGTTTGTCCGCGATGGACTCCTAAACTACTGACCCGATTTTAGTAAAATTTAGCACACTGCATCCAGTTCGAGCCAGCTTAGAAGATAGGATAATAAAAACACTTCATAAGAAAAGAATACTCTACTGAGCGAACATACCATTAACCATGCACATTTTTAATGTTTATTTAGTATAATGTGTTAAGCGAACAACTCTATAACTGGGCAGAAATGCTGGTAAGCAAAAATTGAGAAAGCAGCCTTAATAATTTTTAAATTCGTTATTTTTCCCAATGAAATTTATTTGCGTGAACATAATCAAAATTAAACTTCAAGTACAAACCCTTGGATCTTATGACAACAAAAACGTTTTCGCCTTTATTCGTAAATAAAATGTTCACTGTACTGATTTATTATATGAATAATAGCATAAAATATATAACACAGCAAAGCGTGGGCGGATTCTCTAGTATTATAAAAATAAACAGGCGTGAGCTCGCCTTCCAATTGGCTTAATCTTCATATCTCCTAAGCATATAAAGCTGCAACAACCGAATTTAACTGGAGCCAATAATATAGGAATATAGCTTGAAAATTTATGAAATTCTCAGTATAAAAATCAAGAAGCATTTAATAAAAGGATATAAAACTTTGCATGAATTGTGCCGGCGCAGTATACCTGTTTAAGCGCAAACATTTTTCAAATGGAACCATAACTGTTCAAGTCCTAAGTACCGAATGTGCCAACTCGAGTACCTATAGTTGACTTTTGACAGAAAATATTGACCAATGTGTGAGATAAATGACTGAAATTCAGAGAAAATTATTTTCTGATAATATTTTGTCAATGAGTTAGCTCCCATATACCTAATACACAAATTTTCAAACTTTCACGTGACCAATATTTGAATAATCTCAATAAAAAAAGGCATATTTTAGTCATAACAGTATATCTTTGTATCTAAAATAGATACAATTGGGCAAAAACTTGACCTAGCCCCCATATAACTCATGTCAGAGTTGTCTAACATCTGGCTCCACATATTTGGTTATTACATGCAAGGAACCTTGATAAAACTGTGTGATCATTTTTATTAGCCTGTGGGTTTTTAATTCTAGGTAATATTGCCAAAAAATAGAAAAAATCGGATCATTACTACTTCCTATATACCTACTACCTACCATACATAAGATCTTCAAACTTTCTATAGTCTAATGTCAAAAGTGTATGGAATTTTCCACGAACTACTACAATTCCCATCTAATATTACGGCAACAATATAACAAACCGTATGACAAATACGGTGGTCGGTGTATAAGTTGTATATAGTTAACATACATATGTATATATAAAATTGTTGGTATCCAATCATCTTGTTTGTTTTTATGTGTATTATTATTATTTTATTTTTTTTTTTTTGTGTTTTTTTTTTGTTGTGTTTTTTTCAGTGCCTGATTTTTATCTCAGTGCCATTCAGTTTCACTAAAAAAAAATACAAAAAAACTGGTGAAGCTAATAATAGCATTATAAAATCAGCCAAATGCACTGGCTTCCAGATTTCCTTGAAAAGTTACAGTCTGATTTTGACAATTTTCGGGTAGAATATTAAATATCTGAAAGGCACTACTTTCGCAGAGTTTGGAAGTAGATGTGTGGTTTGTCCGATTCCGACCATTTTCACAGCGTATGATAGAAATGGCTAGGAAACCACGCATGCCAAATTGGGTTGAAATCGTTGAGGTAGTTTCTTAGATATAGAATTTCACCTAAAGGTGGACGGTGCCACGCCCGTTTCCTTTTTTAAACCTCTTCTTCATCATCTCGGTTGTGAATCTGTATATTTTGAGTTCCACGCGATCTCCGACGGGCGCAATACACAAAAGGCAGTGCTACCGGCTTTCGCCGCAGGTGCCGCTTAAAACAATTCTCTGCCAGAAAATATGACAATCGGAATTCAAAAATTTACAAAGATAGTTTCAAAGAGATGGTTTAATTTTACGCATAGTTTCTGTTTTACTCGCAGTAGATCTACCTAAGACCACCTAGCATGGCACATCTAAAAACAACTTTTATGGAAGAAATTATTATGTAACCATTTACTTGTGCTTTTGTATTAATGCTCTGCAAACACTTTCAGAACATGTGGCGCTGCAGTGTGTGCCGACGAAAGATGGCGTCGCGTGTGTGCATCCCACAAGACTCAACCGACTCCATGTTGGACGTGCCCGTGCTGGAAGCGCTGCAACGCCGCCACTCCGACGCCAAGCTCGGCTCAACACAGACATTGGCACCGGCAAATGGCACCGCATTGGCACCGCCACGCAGCCCCGAATGCCGACGGCATTCCGACGTATCACCCGCCTCACTCAAAGAACTCGAAAAGGTAAGCGATGTTCCAACAACATCAACAACTGTGTGTGTGTCTGCTGCTGCTGTAGTGCTTGCGTCTTCTTACATTTAGTTGTTGCAATAAGAAACGCTTAGTTTGTCTTCTTAGTTGGCTTTGCTTTGTTTGAGTTGAAAATTGTCTTGTGTTGTGTTGTGTTCGTTTATGTTCGTTCGTCAACTAAGTTTGTGTTTGCGTTTGGGTGAGTGTGCAAAAGGAGTGGGCGTGTAGAAGCGTGCGAAACCTAAGTACTCACTTTCCGTACCTTCCGTACCTTTTTCGTACTTTTCGTACCGACCTAATGTGTAATGTACATAATCACGCGATGCCATGCGCCAAAATAACTGTAAACGCTACACACCACCACCACCACTCTCGTGTAATCCACACCCACCCACACCCAACCCACAACCTGTACATGCAAAATGCAGTTGAAGGGCAATAAAACACCGGGCGGTGATTTGGACTTTCGCAAGGGTGGACGCAGCATGGCGCCGAGCCGTTCATCGAGCCCGCCACGGCAATCGGACCTGGATCAGCAGCTACCGTTCGGAGCGCCACTGTCGCGCATGGCATCACGGCGGGGATCGCGTGTGGCGCGCCAACACAGCTATGATGATGACATGAACAGTGCGAGTATGGCAGCGGCGGCAGCGGTCGGTGCAGCTGGGGGTCTGGGCGCGGCAGCGGCTGGTGCACTGGGCATGACGGGCGGCGATCCCGGACTCGGCATACCAGCAATGCCAAGAAGGTTAGTTTAGGCAGGCTATTACTTACAAGCGACGACTTTGACTCAACTGCCATTTTTCCGTTCTCTAGGAAATCCGCTTATGACGTTTTTGCGCCCAATCTGCTACAGAGTGCGGCTCCTGCGACAACGCAACTTCAACGATCACCCGGCGATGGTATGTCGCCACAAATTGCTCTACCCGGTTCGCGGCGACCTTCCTTCCGTGTGCCACATCCTTCTGAGGATCTGCAAAACGACGAATCGCCAAGTCCCGATAAAGGCAGCCCTGTGCTTACCGTAGATGAAGACAGACGCATACGCCGACGTGGATCACAACTGTAAGTACAAGTCGAGTACCTTTAAGAATATTACTGCTAATTAAAATTGGACTTTCATATCACTAAAAGCTTGAACTATCTTTCATCCACATTTAATTTCGTATTTTCTTAAAATCCGTCTGAAATACATTTTAATGGCAAACTCCGTTCTTAGTCCCGATTTAGCGGCGCTGCAGCAACGCGGTGCATTACCAACCAATCTGCCCGCCACAATACCACCTCCAATCGCTTCTTTCACCGGACCCAATTTGGAGGATCTCGAGGCACCACGACGTCAAACTTCGATGGATGGTGAAGCCATTAAAATTGTTATACACGACGTCGATTCGGGACCTATTTGCTCATCGAAGCGTAGAATTGTATTACGCAGAGATCCCACGGACAAGGCACATCGCAGTGAGTACTAAACTTTATTATGAAATTAAGTGAGATATTGCATGGTAAAAATGAAATAACAAAAATTCAACCGATAGCTAATTTTAAGACTGGAAAGGAATAATGCATATCCAAATTATAGTTCTAAACTCATACCTTACGTAATTCTGAATTAAAGTAAAATAATTTAGTTGGCAAAAGCTGTCTAACGACTTAGATTAAGTTAAGCTAGTAGACCGAACCGATTACAATGTCCTAGAACTTGGATCGGTAGTGATACCTCAAACATCTGTACATATAACGATCATAAAGCAAATACACTTCGAAAAATTTCCCAAAGCGTCTAATATCAATTTTGGCAAGCTCTCTAGATGTGCCGTAAGTATGTCTGCCGAGCTAGTATTTCAACCTCAGTCTTACAAAAGCAAAATGTAAATGAGACGAGCTTATCATCTTTACAGCTTCCATTGCTTCCGTTAAGGCCAGGCATCCTAACAAATCTAATATTGAAGCAACTTGATGCTGTCGGTAGTGAGGATTAATAATTCTAGACTCACTAAGTGCACACAGTCAGCGAACTCAGACTTGGTATTGCCGCTCTGTTATCAAAACTCAGGTTAACATCCCTGACTCAACATAATTTCTATAAATTAAGTAGAATTGATCCTTATTAATTTCAATTAATTTGTTTTCAGTTCTATTCTTAATTTTAAAAAATACAGTTTTATTTCGACGAAAGCCTTTAATATAACAAACTATTACAATCTAGTTGAGTGTAATTTGGTTTAATTTAACTTAATTTAGTTGTGCCTAAAGTAATTCGCTTCAACTCAATTCTATCGATTTAATTGCTTTTTCATTATAGTCTATTTTAATTTATTAAGTTTATTAAATTTTACATAACTTGTCATTGCTAACCCACTTAAAGAGAGATTTAATTAACTCAATTGTAGTAAAATTAAATCACTCATCTTTAATTGACTAATTTGTGGCCGCATTTGAAAGAATCTCACTTGAGATGAGTTGAATTAAATTGTTTATCTGTGCAAAGTTTATCTTAAGATCAGTTAAGTAATACGATTTCAGGTATCTTATAGATTAAGTCAATTAGCTAGCCAAATTTATAGATCAAAATCTTGGTCTAACTTATTTGTTAGTTTAGTTATATTTAGTAAAATTTTCGCTTACATCAACTCAAAATTATATAAAAATAAATTCAGTTCAATTCAGTTTAGGGCAGCTAATAGCCTGCGCGAGTTAGTTTTCTTTAAAAACAAAAATGCTAATTTAGATGAACTTAGAATAAAAAAACAAGTATTATTTTACTATATTAATACTTAATCAATTGAATTCAAGTTGAAAGTGGAATGCAAGCCTGTAGGTGGTTGTCCAAGCTGTAAATTTGGTTGTGTGCAATGATCAAACAATCAGCTGATGAAACTAATTATTAGAAGAAATGTAAAATGAAGAACACAAGCAATTAGCTGTAGCTGTTCGTTAATCGAATAGCTGTTCAAAAAGCAAAACAGGTTTCACAATTATAATTTTAATGTACTAAAGGGTGGTCCATTACGAGGTTCCCTATTTTTATTAAGAAAAAACTCAGAAACTTCATATTTAATAAGAAATATTTATTATCATGCCGAAGAACATTCTTTAGCATTTAGTTTTGAATATTATCTCTTTCAAGTGTTAACCGATTATCTATCCATTGAGTCCAATTTTCGATGACTCTTCGAGCATTTTGACTGTTAACTGACAAATGACAAGCATAATCCATTGCTTCAAGGCCTGGATCCAAGCGATATTGTCTGCATACACTTTTGACTTTCACATCCCCACTGAAAAAGTCTAACTGTATGATATCACAAGATCTTGGGAGTTAATTGTCCTGTCTGAAACGTGAAATTATCTGCTCACCGAGGTGTTCTCTTCATAAGTCCATTGATTGATGTGATGTGTAGGAAGCAGTGCCTTCTTCTTGAAGCCAAATGTCACCGAGTTAACGAGCTTTAATTTCAGTCGTCAAATAATCCGTTATACTAGCGCGATAGCGGTCGCCATTGACTATATGTTACCTTCGCACCGACATCATTTTTGAAGAAATATATGCAGATGATTAAACCAGCCCACAAACCACATCAAACCGTGTTTTCTCAATAAAATGACAGCTCTTGAATCTCTTCATCAATGCTCTTCGTTTCAAATGCAGCAAATGCCCTTATTTATGTACCCATTGAGCTATAAATGGGACTCTGAACAAAAAGAGCGAAACTACTTCGCTTGGAAAGATCAAGCAGTTTCAGTTCTTGCACAATTACTTCTTGATTTGTATGCTTTCAATTTAAGATATCGACGTAAAGTTCTCCAAATCGTTCCATATGTCAATCTGAGTTGCTGGGAACGGTGCCGAATCGACTCTCTACGGTCTTCGTATACGCTCTCAGCTTCGGCTGCTATATTTTCTTTACTGCGTGCTGGACGAGATCTTTTCGGTCGAATATTATCCAAGGTTGCTGATGGTGTTGGAAGGAGTACGCTCACTAAGCAGATTATGTGGACCATGAATTGAGCATTCTTTACAGAAGGTGAATTTTCGTAATTAAGTTGAATGATTTGTAAATCGTTGTTTTCATTATGAAACACCCAATAACATTGAAGAAAAGTTACATGACAGCTTGACAAAACTCACGTGTGTTTGGTCAAAAAAGGCTATTGAAAGAGAACCTCTGCTTATATAGAAAAAAAATTATGCTTCCATTAGGTTTCTCCATATGTATCCAAACAAGCATATTCATTCCATCGCTTTTCAAAAACATGAAGTGCAAATAGTGACTGCTGAGTTTTCAATAAATTGAAATTTTTGCGATTGCATTGCTATAACAGGATTCTGACAAAACCACCAAAAAAAAACGTTAGCAAAGTGAAATGTTAGAAATTCAAACGAACTGCTCATTGTGCGCTGTGGCTTTCGGGTCGCTGACAACCCAGCCAGAGGCCACCAGCGCAACATTTCCCATTCACATGCATATTTGTATATTTGAAATTGCTGAGTGCAAGTCATTGGCAGTTTCATCACCGAATGCTTGCCGATTGCTATTCACGGACAAGCCAAGCCTTGGCTCTGTTGTTCCTCGCCGTACAAATCGAATCCTGGCAGCTTGCAAGTGTTTAGCGGAGTGCAATGAAATGCATTCGACTGGAATGTTGTGGAATGGAATGTGACAGTTTCAATGTAAAAACTGTTATTTCATAGAAATTGTATAATCTTGATTAATTTAATGTGCATGGAAATGAACTTATCAAGTGGAAACTTAATGGACCTTTGTGTTGTGATACGCTTTGCATTGGTTGCTTCGTTGTGGCGTAGAGTACAAGAAATACACTTATGGAGTATTACATTAGCTAAGTGGAATAAAGGAAAATACACAACAAAAGAAGAAAATAATAGTTTGTGCAGATTTAAATAATATTTGCTTGAAATGTGATTTTTTAGAGCAATACGAGTATAATGAAAAATAACTACGAGTTAAGCAGGAACAAGGACAAGATGGACAATAATCAGCTTTCTATTTAACGAAATATATACTCCGGTGTTCGGCATGACTGCAAAATGGCGAAATACCGAATTATTATGTCTACAAATACATATATACGACGGAATTTCTTAAAGGTGGTTATTTGTTTTTTATTCCAATGTTCCAATAGTTCGAACATGCGTTGGAAAGCTGCTCATAAATTTTTATACACCGAACGGGGTTTCTGAAGAAATTATTGTGAATCATGAAAATTGATCTATCAAAATCATGTTCTTGTATGGAAACTCCTTATTTGTGATGGGTATCATAGCTTCGATGTAAACGAAGCCTAAAATGGATTGAAGCGGCACAATACTTCACTAAGTTCCCAAACACTCAACACAACGAATTTCAAACTTCCAGGTTACTTTATACCTTTATGCTTATAAGTTGCTTATAAGTAAGTGTATGTTTATGACTAAAATGGTTAAAATTAGGCAAAAGTTTGACCTAGTCCCATATAACAACCCATATGATTGGAGATGAGGATGTGAGGTAGCTTAAAGAATCTCAAGGTACATTTTCTTAGCATGTGATTTGTTAATAGTATGCGGGTTTGGCAAAAAAAATATAATCAGGGGTGTTGTTGAATCTGATAGTTGTCGACCGATCACAAAAAGCAGTAGGTGTCATGAATTCAGATATTATTGGTTTGATATTCGAAACAGAGTTTGTATCGATTTTGGGTGTCACAGAAACCAATTTTATCGGTTTTGCTGTCAGAAACAAACCAAGAAGATAGTCGCACACAGATTTGAAATGTAAGTTAAAAAATTAAGTTATTTTATTGTTACGAATTAATTTATCTTTATTTCTATAGGAGAGAACATAAGAATAAAACAAGAAATGTCTTAATTATTGAGTTTCTGAAAAAAAATGCGGATTCTTAAGGGGGGGTGCCTGCTTTAGAGGCTTAAAAAATCGATTATTTTGAAGATTTTTTGGGAGGGAAATAAGTAATTGATTAAATCGAAATTTCTACGGTTAATAGTTATATATTTTAACATCATCCGCAAATTGCTTTGATACGAAATTCTTTACATTTTGCCTTTGGGAAGCAATTGTCAGATGCTTCTCGCATGTGCATATGCCAGACGGCGGGCAGGATGCAGGTCGAGATTTCTACCCGAAACAAAAAATTCAAAGAGATTAATATTATTTAATAACTTATGTTCAAATCAAACTGAAAATTTCAAAAAAAAAAGTAAAGTTATAAAACTTTTTAAAATTAAAAAAGAAAAAATGATTTTGGACTAAAAAAATTTTACTCTAAATATAGGTTCACAATTAACATTTCTTAGTATTTTTCAGTTTAAATAGAAGATAATTTAATGTCAAAGATAATAAACTTAGCCTCAATATCATACAAGGTTTAGTTTTTTTTTACCCTGGCCGCCAATTAAGAAAAATCGTAAAACTGAAAAACCGAAAAATCGCGCGTCA